GATAGTATATAAGTCGGCTAAGCCGATTTTTTGAAAAATCGGCTGACTTAGCCAGCTAAGTCAAAAAAATCGACTAATACAAAATTAACTACAAACACTACTATAAAGACTATTATAAATTTATAAAATTTTTACTTAATATAAGAGACCAAATCTCAACCGTGTAGCATATATTTATAAAACGTTTATTATTATGTGGGTTAAGAAGTTTTATATGAAGAAAAGAAAGATTTTATAGTAATATTGCTCATAATTTCTATGTTTAGTTATATTCTAACTATATAATTTTTAATATTTACTACTCCCGTTAACTACTGCAATCATTATTTCCTGACAGTGCTCTTTCTGACACCTCTTTTTTAAAATTTGTACTATATCTTCCTATCCAAGCTTTTATTGTTTTTACTGTTGGTATTTCTTCAAAGTCAAGTTCTCCCTTTTCAGCCAATTCTTCTAAACTGGTATGTATATCTTCAGGTAAGTAATGATCTTCAACTCTCAAGTTTCCTGCTAAAAAAAAACCTTGCAAATACAGTAATACTCTTTTTTTCATGCGCTTTCCCACATCTTTATTACCAAGCTTCATACTCTCTTTTAGAGCCCACCCCATATCAAAAGGAAATTCGTGATCAACACTATAAACAAGTTTTTTAGTGCGTGAAAATTAATGTTGAACAGAGATTGTAATATTAAATATAATAAAAAAAAATTATCTTATATCTTTCAGATTATATAATAAATAAGTGTGTAGAAAATGAGAATAAATGTAAAATTATCGTTACAAACAAAATAATAAGTTACACTAAAAATTATAATTTATGAAACCTCTTTGGATACTGTATGTATAGTATGTTTATTTTACAATTACCTCTCATAAAATTTGATACTTCATTTGATTTATTACTACTAACTAAAAAGAAATATTATTCAATTATAAAGTGGTTATTGTGAAGTTATATGTGTCAAGAGTTGCCCAATTTGGTGTTGTAGAAATAATATCCAGCTAAAATGATTTGTTGATATTGACTTCATCAAAATACCTACATATAAAAATCATAAAGAATCTTTATGATTATCATATGAGGTGAAGTCAATAGAAATAGGACAAATTTATTAGATAAATTTGTCACATTTCTATTGACTTCACCCCATATATAGAATATAGTATAATAGTTAATAT